CTTGTGGGAGACGCCCGAAGAGACTCCGACATGCCTGCAAGAGGCGCCCCAGACGCTTCCTCGGAAAAACCACAGGCATCCACGGAGCCGACATCCCACAACCCAAAGGCGGTGGCGGGACTTACTCCAAATACCTGCTGCATTGTCACAAGTTTGTTTCATTATGTTCGCCGCTTGCCTTCTCAGGCTTCCGACCCCGCACCACGGCTCAAAAGATGTCTCGCCCTAGCTCAAGCCCGGCCGTCGCGCCGTGCCCCCCCTCCTCGTATTCACTCTGCGCGTCCTCCTCCCCATCGTCGTGTCCTTTCCCCTTGGCATCATCATCCCTTCTTCCTCCATATTCTCTTTTGCCGTCTCCTGCGCATGATCCTCGTCTCCCTCGCTTCCTGCTTCGCTGCCTCCTCCTCCCCATCGCCCTCTTTTCGTTTCTGCGCGCAACGAATCCACGCTTTCCCATGCTCTTGGACACTGTCCGGCAAGCCCGCAAACCCTCGACCTCGGCAGGCTCGCGAACGCACCCACGAGAAGCGTAGAAGCACACTGACCCATACGCCTTCCTACATGCTGCCTCCGCCTCACGCCACCACCCTGCATCGCGTCCACATCTACTTCACAGGGTGCGACTAGTGGTGTGCTTCAGCTTTCCTTGCCGAGCAGTGAAAGCGACATGCTGCCGCGCTAAGGAACAGCGCTCTGAAGTAGCCTCTTGCCATATGGGCTCGGACATCGAAACGGCTCCCAACATCTCGCCGCGAATCCGTTTCTCTGCGCCGTCCTTTCACACCGCCTTGCTCCCCTTCTTTACACTGCGCTTTTGTTGGTCCCTTGTAAAAGAAGTGCTCCTTCCGCGCCGCAAAAAACGCCCAACAGGCCCGAAGATGCCCCCAAGAGGCCCAAACGAGGCCCCCAGAAATTTCCCAAGAGGTCTCACCCGTAGACTTCTTCACTTTGGGGGTCGGCGGAGTGGCGTAAGCCTCTTGAATAAACTTTCCGAGGTCATCGCGGATTCCTCGGATCGGCGCTTGGACCCCCTGGCGGCACCTTCGGCGCCGCCCCTGGCGCGCTCCGCGCGCCAAGAAGGGGATCCAGCGCGGATCCGAGAAATCCGCATGGATTCCAACAATTCATGTTTATGCCATTGCTTGTTCCCCAAAAGAAAGGCGGCCGTTTGACTTGTCGCAGTGCTGGCCGGCATCGGGAAGCTGAGATGGACAACTACACTGATGTAAGAGATCAGTGAGCAGATGGAGGCGATGAGCTCTAAATGGCACCTGCGTGCTGGAATTAGCAACGCCAAACTACGATCTGCAAGCTGCCTGTGCAGCGCTACGCTGCGTTAGGCTCAGCTGACCAGAACCACATAACACCATCTGCACATAAAAACCTTGCGGGGCCACGGAACTGCGATCCAAATGCTCGCACGAAAAACATGATTGATCTCCGGTACTGGGGCCGCCATCCCTAGCGAAGCAAACGTTACACTCGTCTCCAAAGCCAATACTCCTGTGAAGGGTCAGGGATATTCGCTCAATGACCCCTAAGATGTTCCAGCGCAGCCCAAGACCTTCCAAGGTCGCTTGGGTCTCCGAAGGCCTCCTAAAAGATCGCGTTTTTTTGCAGATCTTGGCGGTGGAGGCCCCAGGTGGCCGACGCAAGCCTCGACCCTCGAACCCTTCGAGCCGCTCCGAGCCTCGATCCTCGCCCGAACTTCTCTACCAAGCCTGAACTGGATCGAATCGCGAACTTGTGGGCCGTAACAATGAACTAATCAAAGCTACGTTGTGTGTTTCTAGGTTGTGTTTCATCTGTTGTTCTTTTCTGTTGTGTCTTCTACGTTGTGGCTTCCACAGTGTGTTTTCTACGGTGTGTTTTCTCCGTTGCCTTTCTCTGTTGTGGTTTCTCTGGTGTCGTTTCTCTGTTGTGTTTCTGTGCTTTCTACGCTGTGTCTTCTGCATGGCGTTTCCTACGTCATGGCCTCTACGTGCTGTGCCTCTGCTGTGGTTTCCGCTACCTTGTGTCTTCTACGTTGTGGCGGCCCCTCGCGCCGCGCGAATTAGCCACATCACAAACCACAAGAAACGCCGCCACTGGGCCTTTTGCTTAGTGGGCGTGTTAGAATTCGTGCTGTTGTCTTGGAGCTTCTTAAATGTTTTCTACCCCCCTCGTCGCACGCGTGCTCACAACATCGCCCTTTTCGGCCCTCTCTTCGACCCCCCGACGGCCAAGATGGCCCCCAAGCTGGCTTCCAAGACAGCCTAAAGACACCACAACGGCTCCAGATAGCGCAAGACGGCCCGAGAGGCTCTGAAGACAGCCTCAAAACTACCCGAGAGGCCCCCAAGACGACGCAGGAGGGCTCCAACAGGCTCTCCAGGAGAGCTCGAGAAAGCTGACATGTTTGATGTTCCTGTGGTCTTTGACAGATTTTGAGGTTCTCGCCTATTTGGGTTTCAGACCGCCTGAGGCGGTCCAAGGGGCTTCCAAGATAGCTTCATGGCAGTCCGCGAGGCCCCCAGAGGCTCCCAGAGAGCCCCACACTGCCCCAACGCGCCCCAAGAGGACACGAAGACGGCCCAGAAAGGTCCCCCAACACGGCATCCGAACGCGTCCGTCAGACATGCCAGTCGCATCCCTAAGAAAACCCACGTGGCTCCAAGAGGCCCCCCGGAGACCACCATGACGCCCTCAAGAGGCCCCCCCAGGAGGCCCCCCAGGAAGCGCCAAGAAGGCCCCCCAAAGCCTTCTCCTATTCCTCCTCCTCCTCCTCCTCGTCCTCCTCCTCCTTCTCCGTACTGCGCGGACAAGTAAGAATTCAGACAACTCGTCGGAGTTGCGGCGCTACTACAGCCAGCCTCCTTCCTGCTGCGCTGTTACGCAAACACGGCGGCGGGGCTTGCCGCATGGAACTGGAATCACTACCAAAGCGCCACGCAAAAACCTCACCACGAAGAACACGCAACGTAGAAACCACACCGTAGAAACCACCACGCGGGACTGCACCTTACAACTGCTTGACTGGGGGCCTTTTCCAGTGTTGTTGCCACACAAACAAAGCACACTCCACTCCACTCGACAAGACAAACAAGACGGCGTGATACAAATAAACGACGATGCCTACACTACGAGAGAACACCGTGTTAAGTAACACACAGGCACACAACGTGAACAACACCACGTAGGAAACGCCACACGGCACTGCACCTCTGAAGTTTTGACAGCAATGGGAACACACAACAATGGAAACACACAACCTACCAACACATACAAAGTATACTGCACAACGTAGGCAACCCAGCAGGGAAAGGCGACATAGAAAACATACTGGGGAACACATAACGTGGAGCATACACCAGAGCACATAACAATGACGCACAACGTAACAAAACACATCAACCGATAAACTACAGCGTACTGCACACAACATCGAACACAACTCAGAGAAGCCACACCAGAGAAACACAGCAGATAACACAACGTGGAACACGCATCGCAGAAATACAACGGATAACCCAAAACAGATCACGCCCAGCAGATACAGCCCAACAGAGAAAACACAACAGAGAAACCACCGTAGAACACACACCACAGGAAACACAGCATATACACCACAACAAAGAAACCACAACGAAGAAACCACACCAGAGACAGCACACCAGACAACACACAGTAGAGAAGATACATCATAGAAAACACAACAGCGACACCACACTGTAGAAAGCGATCGAGAAGACACAGCAGGGACAACTCAACGTATAAACCACAACATACCAAGCACACGACATAAACAACTCATCATAGACAACATAACTAACAGCGAAACCATGATTGAGAAAGCAAGACATATAATCCACAACAGAGACATGACAACAGATAAGCCACAACGTATAATACACATCATATAAACACAACAAAGACAGCATGGCATACATGACGCAACGTGGAAATCACAACACATACATAGAAACACAACGTGCACACCACAACGTACAACAACCGACGTATAAACATCACGCAGGACACGCAACGTAGGACAAACAACGCAAGTTTAGTTACTTCACAATAAAAGGTCGCCTTTGACAATTAAGGCTATCCGTGCGCGAAATCAGATCGCTACGCCCAGCTCCTTCCCCAAACATCTGGCGTCTCAATTCTTTCGAGACGCGGGCCCCCGAAATCTCGACCACTTCCCATGGACCGGTTTCTCATCCCGAGTCCTTTTTTGATGCTCCCGAGGCTCGGCAAGGGCCCCGAGAGTTCGAAACCAAACCTCCGCCTCGTTTTTTTCGAGACGCCAGATGTCGGGGGCTGGCCCCAGCTGACGAAGGTGAATCGAATCGACCAGAATCGAACCGAGTCGAAATCGCGGCTCTGGCAGGCACATCGGCTCGCATCGGACCGTAGGCGGCCCCCGTCTGCGTGCGCCTGGTGACCCCGCCTCTCGGCCCAGCACGGTGCTGCTCGCGCCGTCGGCGGGCGCTCCTCGCTGCCCGAGGCGTCCTCGGGGAACGGCCCGCGTCCCCACAACCGCGCCGCGACCCCGAATCCCCACCGACACACCACGCGGTGCGCGGGGCTGCCCAGGCGCCGCTGGCTCCGCCTCCGTTGGCCAACGGCGGTCTGGCTCGCCATGTCCAGGGCGTCGGTGCAGATCCGACGGGGCAGCAAGGGCTTGGCGAGGGACGGTGGCGGACCCCGATTGCAGGCTTCTGAATTGGTCAGGTGGTACTCTTTATGCCAGGTGGTGAGGGAAAGCGCCTGTGCAGCTTCCACGAGCACATTGTTTTTTTCATGTGTTAGAACTGCCAAGTGTCAGCATCCTTGACGTCTTGGCTTTGTCTCATCCTCGCCATCCGTTGTCTCCTCTTGCTCCTCCTTCTCCCCCGCCTCTCCCCGTGCTTTTCCTTCTCGTCCTCCTTCCCCCCCTCCCCTCGTCCTCGCATTTTCCCGTTCGTCTCCTTCTTCTTCTGCTCTTTCTCCTCCCCCCTCCTTAAAAAGGGCACCGCCAGACTGAGAAGAGCTGCTCGGACTTCACCACGTTGAGCAGCCCAAGGCACACCTGCAGCACAGGGACCTGGAACGCGAGGCCCGTGGCGAACCCTGTTGCGAGGATGAACTCGAAGTACTCGGCACGGGCGATCGCTGGATTATGATGACGGCATGGCTTCAAGCGATCTAATCAAAGAACATGTACACCGACAGTATTTGGAACGATCATGTTCATGCAATTGTCTGTCATAAACATATCGTGTACGTGATGATGGATCTCATTTTGTGGGCCCCAGGAGTAGTCGCGTCTTGTGCATTCGGATACTCCGCGACCCCGCGCGGGGTGAACGAAAACGAAAACAACATGGATGGAACCGTCCCAACGAGGCCTTTTGCACACGACCCAGGGACGGTGGCGGGTTAGGTCCTCGAGGGCATCCCTCGTGCATCTCAGATGTTCGCAAAAGCTCCTCAAGGACCCGCATGGCCTCCCAGGACTTCCCGAAGTCCCCCAGGATTCGCCGAGGCCCGCCCTGCCCTCCTGGTGTCCCCCCGGAAAAACTCGATGCCAGGGGCAAAAGAGTCGGCGGCAGTGGCCCCTTCGGGCATTGCTCCCTGAGGCCGCCCCTTCAAGGCGCTCCAGAGGGCCCGCATATGCACCAGCGCGGAGGCCAGCAACACAGAAAGCAAGCAAAGGGCCCCAGCACCCTCCCCCCCTTCCCGGAGAAAAGCTACTAACAAGCAGGCGACAGGCCAGACCCTTGCGCCCTAAAGCCTCGGTCGCCTCCCCGATGTGCCTGTTCGCGTACGCTCCAAGGCTCGTCCTCCCGCCCAGAACTCACCAAACATCGACCACCTGACCCCGCCTCTGGCGACAAAGGGCCCCCCCTGGGCAACAGAAAACATAGAGACGCATGGAGGTAAACGAACTGGCAACCATGACCAAAACTGAACGCGGAAACGTCGTTGTCGATCTTGGTCGCTGTCAATCAGTGGATAATTCTCGCGAAGCGGCGGCGGCCGGCATTCACTATGACCAACATGGGCGTCGACAAGCTCCCGTGACATCTTGGTCATGTTCATCGCGTTGCTGCTATCGAGAACAGTCGCCACGACCAGGCGGGTCTGTGCACGGGCGGGCGCGTCCTGGTCAATGGAGAAGTTGCTCTCGATGACGCCCTCCCCCCAGCGCGCCGACGCGGGCGGAGGAGCAGAAGAGGCGCACGGTGGACGGCGAGGGTGGAGGTGGCGGAGGTAGACGGCGAGTTGGTGGTGGCGGTGGAGGCCAGGGAGGAAAGCGACGTGAATGAAGGGCATCTTCTGTGGCAACTCGTGGGGACCTCCCATACCATCTTCTTAGTTCTTGCGAATCGACGCTGATCGACGCTGATCGACGCTAATCGGCGCCAAATCGACCCTAAATCAGCGCTTCCCCTCGCGCGCGCTGATGCACTGTAAAGACGGAGTTGGGAGGGTATACAAGGTTCCCATGATTTGCCACCGAAGGAAGTAGCAGTGGAGGGCGGGGCGGGAAGCGACGTGAATGAGGGACGACGCTAGGGGAGGGCCGGCCAGAGGGAGGGGAACGGGGGCGGGGGAGGGGAGGGAAACATCGACCCGGTATCGGCGATGCATCGCCGATAGATCGGCGATGAGCCCCCGAGGGCAAAACCGCACGCTCCTGGGCAGGTGGGGCTGGGCTACTGGGCTCCTATCGGCGCTCCACGGCCGATCGGGTCGATGCGTCCCCCCAGAGCCAATCTCCCCTCAAAGTTGCCCCCTGGTTTTCGGGTGATACCTCGGCTCTGGCGGCCTCTCGGGACGATCGGGGCGCCCCAGGAGAGCCCTCGGAGAGGCGCAGCTGCTGGAGAGCACTCCGAGGCTGCAAAGCCACCGAGAACCGACGAACAGCCCGAAAGCCTCGAACCTCGACCCTCTAACGTTGTTCCTGAGGAGTGGAAGGCGACGTGGAAGCAGCGACGACGAGCGGGGGATCCTGGCCGCGAAGGCAGGGCAACCTCACTCAAAGACGCGTTGACCTGGGCCAATGCGAACCCGGGTCAGTCGGGCTTTGCAGGATCCTGCAGGATCCTGCGCGCTAAAATCGGGTTCCATGCAACCCTGGCATTGCAGGATTTTTGCAATCTCCAGCGCCCTGGCGGACCTCCGTGTGCACTGACCCCCCGCCCCAGGGCTCCCGACTCACGATGGCCTCAGCGGGCTGCCGGCGCGGCACCCCGCGCGGACGGAGGGGGGCGCTCGCGCGCGGCCCCACGCGGGCACCCAGTGCGCGGAGGCCCGCACCGTCGAGGCCCTTCTCCCGGGTCGCCTGACTTTGTGCATCGCGCCCAGCGGTGCGCGGTGAACTGCAAGGACAGGAAACACCGATGTTGAAAACGAAATGGCGTTTCACACGAAAAACGAAACGACACCCAACCATTGAAACGAACGTTTAGGACGAACTCCGTGCCAAGCGACAAGCGACAAAAACAACGAAACGAGGCCTCTAAAACTAACATGAAAAACGAAACGAAGCAACGGCGGCAAACAGCATGGAAAACACAACACAGGCCCAAAACAAACTAAGCAGCGTTATGGTCGGTCCTTGGTTAGCTGCCTTCGCACACTCACGCTCTCTCCGACGCAGGCGGCGACGCGCGCAGCGAGATTCCCTTCGCGCCCCCCCTACGGGTGGGGCGTAAGGGTCCCAGACCCTTTGGACGGCGCTAAAGCCAAAGGACGCGCGCGCCCAAGCGTGCTACGAACGGCCCCGGCATTTGCCCTCGCGACAAAGGCCCAATCCTCAACGCCGGATCTGACTGGAGCAGCTACCCAGCGAATGCCCGCGCAGTCGACCTGGAATCGGCGACACATCGCCGACAGATCGGCGACAAGCCCCCGATGGAGAATCCGCACGGTCCTGAGCGGGGTGGGCTATCGGGTTCCTGTCGACCGCCCCAGAGGGGTCCCAACACTCGCTCCCCCCCAAACAAACATGAAACCCCCAAAGAAAACCCCAAGATGCCCAACCGTGCCCCAGTCCTGAAGGGGCCCCAGGAGAGCTCAAGAGCGACTCCAGGATCCGCAAAGAGGAGGGCCCTGACAGGGCCCGGCGACAGGACAAGACGGTCACAAGTCCCCCCAGACAAGGGTTCGATGAGGGTTCCCCTGCAGCTGCCTTCCCATCCTACATCCCCCTACGTTACGCCCTTCTGTGTGGAGAGCGAGAGAGGTAGAACGAGAAAAAAGAGAGAGAGAGAGAGAGAGAGCGAGACAGAGCGACAGAGAGAGAAAGAGAGACACACATTCGATGGGAATAGCAGGGGGTATGTGCGTATATGTTTATCCGCCGGCCCCCTTGTGGGGCCATCAGGCTGCGCGGCTTAGGTTTCCTGCCTCCTGCGCCAATTCCAATTTCTGGTTGCCAATGCTAGAGGATACTTTTGGGGGGTTCGCGATCGGCCAGGGCGCCCAAGATGGCTCCAAGAGGGCCTCCGACGTTACAAGAGGGCTCAAGATAGCCGACGATGGTTCAAGATAGCTTCCAGCATACCTCCAAGAATTCTGACGAGGACCACAAGACTGTTCCAAATGTTCTCGGAGCCCCCATCAGGACCCCCCCAAGAGGCCAATATCTTTCAAACGCTTGGGACACATCAGTGATTTTTCACTTCTCGCCTTTTCGTTTCCGATGCGCTTTTCAGGTCTCAAGACGGCCCAACAATGGCCCAAGCGAGGCCCAAGAGGGGCCCAAGGGGCCATCCAGACGGCCCCAAGAGCGCCCCAAGAGGGCCCAAGAGTGCCCCAAGATGAGATTTTGATGGCCCCACGGGCCCCACGGAGGGGAGGCAAATCGAGGACCCCCCCCCTTTTTGATCGATGGCCTCCAAGATGGCCGTAAGAGGCCCTCCAGGGCTCCCAAGGGACCCCCAAAAGGGCCCCAACATGACTCCGAAGACCCCCCCAAAGAGCCCCAAGGGGACCCCAAGATCCTCCAAAAGAGTCCCAAGAGGGCTCCAGGATGCGGTTTGCGGGCTCTATCCTCGTCCTCGTCCTCGTCCTCCTCCTCCTCGTCCTCGTCCTTGCCCTCATCGTCTTCCTATTCCTTTTCCTCCTCTTCCTTGTCGTCGTGGTCGTCGTCGTCGCCGTCGTCGTCATCATCGCCCTCCTCCCCCTCCTCCTCCTCCTCCTCCTCCTCCTCCTCCTCCTCCTTCCCTCGCCCCCACGTGGGCCCCAGAGATGGCCCGAAGAGGCCCTCCAAAGCCACCCCCCTGTTCCCAAAAATCTCTCTGTTCACCCTGGCTTCCCGCTTTGTTTCACTACATGTGTTTCTCGGCTACGTGCGACGGCCGCTGAATGCTCGCCGCGCCGGGTGCTCGCCGCGACGACCGCGCCCTTTTGCGAGCCTGCCATTGCCCGTGCCTTGTGCTTTCTCGTCCTCCGCGATTCTTACTCCTTCCAAGACTCGTCCGGCGTCTCTTGGTGGAGCCACATCTGTCTCTTCATCCAGTTTTTCCGTCAACTCTCACGGGCAGGATTTCTCAATGGGCTGGTGGTGATTCGCACCCCCGAGGCCAGAATCCTTAGTATATTATGCCAGAATCTCGCTCTTGAGGCCAGAATGCCTTTTTAAGTCACGCCGGATCCGCGCGCCCGACGCCATAATCGTTCGCAAATCACTTCGGATTCGCGCTCCTGGAATCAAACTCCATTGCCAATTGCACAAAATTCGCGCTCCCGAGGTCAGAATCCATGGTACGTTACGCCAGATTCGCGCTCCCGATGCCAGAATCGCTTGTATATTAAACCAGATTCGCGCTCGCGAGGTCAGATTGCTGTGTAAATTACGACAGCTTCGCGCTCTGAGAAGGAAAGAAGGCTTTCAACAACTCCAACATCTCAAGATCCTTGCTGAATGCCAATCTTCCTCGCAGGACGCTCCCAGAAAATTTTCACAACAGCGCCGACACGTACCAGCATAGCTCGGACACCTACCATTCTAATGGAGAGGGGGCCAGCGGCAGGGGTCGATAGATGGAGGTGAACATAAACATGCATGGAGAAAAGGAGAAAGAGAGAAGGAGAGAGGGTGGAGAAGGAGGGTTTCCTTTGCCGAGGATTTTATCATCTCTAGAGACTTCCAGTGGCCTCGCGGTTGAAATCAGACCCTGGCCGCCCTCCCACCCGCCCTCCCTTTCTCTCCCCTCCCTCTCCCTGTCTCTCTGACTCTTTTTTTTCTCCCCCCCGCCCTCTCTCGAATATATATATATGTATATACACACATACATCCACATGTGTGTATATATATATATATATATCCATTCAAAGCCGCAACACCTTACCCTACACCATTCGACGCCAAAATGCGTCGTGCCGATCGAGGCCTGCTGGAGTGGCTGCTGACGCGGCCCGATCAACACATGCGCTTGCTGTGCATGGCGACTTGCGCCTGATTCAACGTCCATTTGACATGCGGATCCCAAATATCCACAGAGCCTTGAGGACCCTAATGGCCCTGAGGACACCCAACCAAACGATCAGGAACGAGACAGAGAATGACAGCAGAACACATGTCTCCTTCTTCATTCTCTTTCACATCCTCCCCCTGGGAAGCCATGGACACCACGCGATCGTGTATCTTCTGTGGCAACTCATGGGAGCCTCATATGCCATGTTGCTGGCCTTTGCGAATCGACGCTAAATCGACGCTAATCGACGCGAGTCGAGGCTAAATCGACGCCATCCCATCGATTCACTACCAAACGCCAATTCACGCTAATGCACCCTGAACACGGAATTGCGATGGTATACAAATCTCCCACGACTTGCTACCGCAATGCGCAAGGCCGTGCACGGCGCCAACAATACCGAAAACTGGCCGAACCGACAGCGAAACCGACAGGCCGAAAGCAACCTAGCAGGGCGCAGTGACGCCACATCCGCACAATAACCGAACAATAACCGAGCGAACCGAAACTACCGAACGCAACCGACTCCGACGCAACTGAACCGACCGAACCACGAACACCCCTGGAACATCGAGGAGGACGGGGGATGATGCCGCAACCGTCCAAAAATGGCCTCCGGACGCCTGCTGTCCCGAACCCAGAACCTCGAACCACGAACACCCTTGAGGACGCGAGGCGGGGCACCAGGAACTATCAGGAGCGCTGGGGCCTGGCGGCCGCGGCCTGCGGTATCGGTTCTGCCGTTGTTTGTCGAGGACGCGAGGATGGGAGGAGGAGGAGGAGGATGAGGAGGAGGATGATGCCGAGAAATAGGACGAGGAGAGGATGAGGTGGAGGTGGAGGAGGAGGTGGAGAAAGAGGAGGACGAGGAGGAGGAGGAGGAGGACGAGGAGGACGAGGAGGCCCAATGTAAACCCAAGACTCATCAACGATGTTGACACCCTCCCTCCAATTTTCCTCTTCGTAAGCCCCACACGACGGTTTTTCCACTGAGGGAAATGCCCCGTTGGGGGGCAACCGTGTGAAAATCTTGAGGCTTGCCACAACAACACTCTTAGGACTTCAGCGTCACGAGTCAACCCGACTTTTGCGTCTTGATGGTCCTGAATCGTGCCAGAACGCTATTCGTGGGACTTCAACACCGCGAACCAACGTGATTGCTGCGCCGTGACAATCTAGAATCGTTCCAACACGCACCATTACTGGTGATTACGTTAACCATGAAAACCAATCAATCTCTTGCAACATTTAAAAACAACGAATGTGCGCCGCGCTGAAACGAGAGCCACCTTTAAAAAACCACCCACCCTCAATGTGTGAAGCTCTTGCATTTTTTCGAAAGGAATGTGCGCGGCGCTTAGGCGAGAGCCACATTTTGGAAGCGACCCACCCTCCATCTGTGAAGCTGTTGCCAGGTTTGAAACGTGAGGCTTCTAAGTGCTGAAGAAATCTCGGGCGAAACGCCCGACCCGCCCTTCCAACTGGCTTGGGGGGTGCGACAGGCAGGAGTTATTCATAAGGGAAAAGACAAGAATGGGTGAGGAGGAATAGGAGGATCATGATGAGGAGTGGGAGGAGGACGAGGACCAGTGCAACCCCAAGACTCATCGACAATGTTGGAATAAACCCTCCCCCTAAGCTCCCTCTTCACAGGTCCCTACCAGGCTTCATTTCCACTGAGGGAATTGCCTCGTTGGGAGACCCAACGTTTTGAAGACGCTGGAACGTGCCCAAACACCATTCTCGGGACTCCAACGCCACGAATTAAATTGACTGTTGCGTATTGACGATCCGGAATTGTGCCAGAACACCATTCCTGGGACTTCAACACCGCGAATCATTGCAACTATTGCGTCCTCACAATCCCGAGTCTTTCCAGCACGCCATGTTTGGCACGCTGGCCATGGGAATCCGTGAAACTCTTCTGAATTTTGAAACGAATGTGCACGGCGCTGAAGCGAAAACCACTTTTGAAAATAAGCCGCCCGCAATCCGGGAAATTCTCACATCTTTTAGAAACAAATGTGCGCGGCGCTACAGCGAGAACCACATGTTCAAAACGCCCTGCCCTCAATCCGTGAATTCATGCAAATGTTGAAAACGAATGTGCGCGGCGCCAGGGCGAGAACCGCATTTTGAAAACCACCGCCTTCAATCCGTGAAGAATTGTGGACGCGCCGCTGGATGGCCCCGACGGGGGGAGGGGTTGGGAACCCTCCCTCCTCCGCCCCCCTTCCCCGACCCGTCGTCGGGGACCCCCCCCCCCTTTCCCAATCCGTCGTCGGGACCCCTCCCCCCCTTTCCCCCCCTTTCCGGGTCCGTCGTCGGGGAACCCCCTCTCCCCCTCCCCTCTTTGGCCGCCAAATTCGAGCCCCCCCCCCCCTTTCGCCACGGCGCCCCCTGGCTCCGGAACCCGACCCCTACCACTCCTAACGCTACCACCCCGACCACCCGTATCCTTAACCCCAAACCCTAGCCCCAAACAGTACGCACTACTCACTACCCACTACTCACTACTCGCTACTCACTACTCGCTACTCAATACTCACTTCTCACTACTCACTGCTTACTACTCAGGACTTACTACCCACTACCCACTACTCACTACCCACTACCCACCACTCACCACTCATTACTCACGACTCCCACCTCACTACTCGATACGCGCTATTCACTACCCACTACTCACTACCCACTACTCACTACTCATGAGCTACTACTCACTTACCACTAACCACTATCCACTAGTCACTGCTGAGTACTCACAAACTACTCACTGCCCGCAGCTCACTACTCACTATCCGCTGCTCGCTACTCCCTACTCCTTACACAGTACTCACTGCTCACTACTCACTACTCGCTACTCCCTACTCGCTACCCGATACGCAGTATTCACTACCAATTACGCACTGCTCACTATTCAATATTCACTACTCGCTACGCACTAGTCACACGCCGCTACTAACTACTCACTACTTTGTACTCACTAGTCACTAGTCACTTCTCGCGAGTCACTACTCAGTACTCGCTACTCTCTACTCGCCACTCCCTACGCACTACCCACTACTCACGACCCACTTCGCACTTCTCACTACTCACTAATCGCTAATCCCTACTCACTACTCACTACTCCCTACTCCCTGCTCGCTACTCCCTACTCGCTACTCACTACTCCCAACTCACTACTGACTACTCCCTCCTCTCTACTCACTACTCACAATGCACTAATCCCTACTAGCTACTCACTACTCGCTACTCACAAACCACTCACCATTACCTACTAATCACAACTCACTACTCACTACTCGCTACTCCCTAATCACTACCCACTGCTCCCTACTCGCAGCTTACTACTAACTACCCCCTCCTCATTACTCACTACTCGCAATGCCCCACTCGCTACTCACTACTACTCACTACCCACTCTCCACTACCCACTACTCACTACTCACTACTCACCACTCACTACTCACCTCGCACTACTCCCTACTCACTACTCACTCTTCACTACTCGCTACTATCTACTCACTACTCACTAGTCTCTACTCAGCACACTATCCCGAGGCCAGACCCTCCCCCTTGCGGGGGAGGCCCCCTCCCCGGCCGCCTGTTCGGCGCAAAAGGGGGGGGCGGGGGGGGGTCGAACCCCCCCCCGCCCCTCCAGCGCCAAGGGGGGGAGGGGGGAGGGGGGAGGGGGAGGGAGGTCCGGAACCCCCTCCCTCCCCCGCTTGAAGGGGGGGGGAGGGGGGGGAGGGGGGGGGGTTCGGAACCACCCCCTCCCCCTTTAAAGGGGGGAGTGTGGGGGGGGTCGAAAATCGCGAGCACCCCCCCCTTTTCAATTACAAGGTCATCCGCTGGCGCGCTTTCCTCTTGTTAGTTTTTCAAATGAATGTGCGCGGCGCTACAGCGATAGCTACATGTTGAAACGACCCGCCCTCACTCCGTGAAACTCTTGCAAGGTGTAGAAACGGATGTGCGCGGGGCTAAAGCGAAAGCGACATTCTGGAAGCGAGCCACCCTGCATGTGTGAAACTGTTGTCAATTTCTACGCTTCAAAGTAATAATGGTGGGAGCGTCTCAGGCGAAACGCCTGGCCCGCCCTTTCGACCGGCCTCTGGGTGCGACAGGGAAGAATGATCTATCTTGTGAAGGACTGGGAAGGAGGAGGAGAAGGAGGAGGGGGAGGAGGAGGAGGAAGAGGAGGAGGAGGAGGAGGAGGCGAGGAGGAGGACGAGGAAGAGGAAGAGGAGGAGGAAGAGGAGGATGAGGAGGAGGAGGAGGAGCAGGAGGAGGAGGAGGAGGAGGAGGAGCAGGAGCAGGAGCAGGAGGAGGAGGAGGAGGAGGAGGAGGAGGAGGAGGAGGAGGAGGAGGAGGAGTACGGCGGGGCCTCGGAGTAGTCTATGAAGAAGCCCAACGCGGCGGGCGCCAAGGTGTAGTACGCGAAGGCCACGCCGGAGTAGAAGAGCACCGCGGAGGATGCCACCGTCGGTCCGACGACTGCGAGGCGGGGGGAGGGCGCACGCGCACCGCTGAGGGTGTAGAAAACAAAAGCCACGCCAGAGTCGGCCGACACCCGCGTGCGGGGGGTAAGACGGCGTGTGAGACGATCGGCTGCCCCTGGCTCCCCGAGGCATTCCAGGAGGTCCTATTCATATTCCCGAGCCTCCTGACTCGCAGGCCATGCACGGTGCCACGACTCTTGACGAATTCACTGTAATGGGGGTCGGCGGAATGGCGTAAGCTTAAGGTGGCCCGGGGGTCCGAACTTCTTGGGGCCCCAGAAAATCGGTCAGGAAGGGGTAGTGTGGCCAAATCCGATCAAACTCTGTCCCTGCACCCTCCCAGGGTCCATCTGGTGCAATTTTGCACCCCAGATCCACTTTCGACGGTCCTGGGGTCCGAAAACTGCTCGCGGAGGCTAGAAAAAGTACAACAATTTCTCCAAACCCAGAAACTCGCCCCAAAAGGGGCCCCAAGTCGGCCCAAAGAGGTCCCCTGAGACGGCTTCCGACGGCATCAGACGGGCCAGGAATGCCCTAAAACGGCCAAACAGGCCTCCGAGAACTTTGGCCCTTTTTCACAAAACTGCAGCAGCTGGCGGCGGTAGGGGACCCCTGCTCGAAACAAGAAAGTCCAGAGTTGAAACACTGAAGCAAACTGTCAGTGTTAACTTTCACGTGGGGGTGTGTACCGTGCTGAACCAGAGTGAGCCAGCCCTTCCTCGTCGCCCGCATCGGAGCAGCACAGGGCGACGCGAGACCACGGCCGCTGGCCTCACTGGAATGGCAGTAGCACCTCACATAAATCCCACCGGCCCTTTAGGGCGTAGGTGGTCTAGGGAGGCTCCTCTTCCGAGCCCCTTCTTCCCCTTCGGGGAAAGGTTTAGCACTGCTCCTCATCAATATACACCCCCTCCCCCACCCGGCTGGCGGCCAACCAAGAACCATGCCGACTCCATGCGGGCCCGCCCCCCACCATCCCTGTCAAAAAACAATACAAACCGCACTCCGCCTCCACATTTAGAGCATGCGCGGCCAACCCGGTACGGCCCCCCGCCACCATCCATGTCAAAAAAACATGCCAAGTACACTTTGGGGCAAAATCTTGAGTCATGTTCGTGAGGCCCGCGACTCTTTGTGTTGTTTTTGGCAGGGACGGCGGGGGTGCCAGCATATTCCCTGCTGTGCGCAGGGCGACCATCCCTGACACAAAACAATACATCATGCACCTCGCGGCTAAATCTGAATCATGCGCGGCCACTCCGCGATCGCTGTCAAGTGGTTCTTGACAGCGACGGCGGGGGTGGTGGCGCGTGGTCTGCTGTGCGCAGGCCCACCAAACACAATTATGGGCATCGGTTTTTGACAAAGATGGCGGGGGCCGACATGTTTCCAGATGTGTGCTGTCACGTGCATAGGCGCACCTGACGCACTCTACACGTGCCCCGAACATGGCGCACCTGGCGCGGCGTGAGTGTGCGGCACACCTGGCGCACTCGGAGCACGTGGCGCATCTGGCGCACCAGGCGTGCCTGGCACGCTCGGCCCCAGGAGGGCCTGGCGCGCGTGGCGCGCCTGGCAAGCGTGGCGCACCTCGTCCAAACGTCGCGCACCTGGGGCTGGCTCTGGTTCCCAGTATCTGTCCATCCACGGACGACCGCTGAACATGCTCAGGCTCGGGTGTTACTTGTTACTTATGTGTAGGGGGGGCGGGTGGGCGTGAGCTAGACGGCTTGCGGGCGGGTGGGTGCCTTGACCTCTCCCCCTACCCCCTCCCCTGGACCTTGGGGGGGGGGGGGCGCTGGTAGTTGGAGTGTTCAAGATGGCCCAGGACGGCTCCAATAGCGCTTCAGAGAGCCAAGGATGAGCTCTAAGATGGCTCAAGATAGCCTAAGACGCCTCAAGATGGCTCCAAAGATGCCCCAAAGGGCACCAAGACCGCCCCCAGATGGCTCCGCGAGGTCTCCGAGGCCTCCAAGGAGGCCTCCAAAAGACCAAAATCCTTCCATAACCTAAAGGCAATCAACATTTTCTGTTTGCATCGTCGCCTTTTCGCTTCCGATAGCCTTCCGAGGCCTCAAGATGGCCCTGAGAAAAGCCCAAGAGAGCCCCGAAACGGCCCCAAGAGCGCCCAAGAGTGCTCCGCAAAGGGTCCAGACGGCGATCTTTTGGGGCTCCTGAGGGGCAGCGCTAATTGGGGAACCCCTCTTTAATTCGGGAACCCCTCTTTTTGGATCGATGTCCTCCAATATTGCTCCAAAAGCGCCCCCACGGCTCCTATGAACGCCCCGAGAAAGCCCCGAGAGGCGCCCGGTCGGCTCCAAGAGGACCCCGGAGAGGCCCCTAAAAGGCCTCCAAGAGACCCCCAAAAGACCCCAAGAGGCTCCCCGAGGCATCCGAGACGCTCCAAGAGGCCCCGGGACCGCCAAGAGACTCACAGTACGCAAGAGTGGCCCGGGAGAGCCCAAAAAGAGGAACCCTTCCTCTGTGCGCTGCCCACTTCCCTGACCGAGGCAACTCCTCTGGGCATCGTCTCTGGATGGGCTGGCGGGGTTACGCGACGCGTCTAAAATTAGGAGGTAGCTGTCATCGTCGCAGTCAAATGCGACGACTCGGTGCCCTAGTGAATCTAATCGGTTGGCGTGCAACTTGTTAGTGCCTGGGCACCGCCCAGGGGCTGGAAGAGACTCCGAGCGTTTGCCCATCAGGCGCACTTCCTTCGCGTCCTCGGGGCGCCTTTTCAAGGGCAACCTGAGACTGGTCCAGCAGGTCCTGGAACAAAAAGGATGCGAGCAGCCAGGCGCACGGTGCACCTGGCTATGCGGACAAGCTTGTCGATGGCATCGGGCTGGTCTCTATCCGAGGGGTGAAGGTTGACGGCGTGTCTCGCGCCGGCATCAGCATGCGCGTTCCCCGCCCTCCGCCATCCTTCGAGGCTGTCCAGGCCCAGTTCCTCGGCATCCTTGCGGGCGGAAGCCTTCGCGCAAGGAAACAACGACAAGGAGGCAACAAAATACTGCCAATCTGCTCCCGAATACATCCGCTTGCCAGAAAACATCTCCTCTCCAGGCAGAGCAGCCTGATGGGCTGCGTTGGCGCAACGCGATAGGGCGGTGGAGTGCTCGGGGATGGCCAGAAGGGGAGACCAGGTGCAGGCTGAAAACTGAGCACTCTGAGGCGCCTGCGGGTACGGGGCCCCGACAGGGGCACGGACCTCGGCTAGAAGCGACCCAAGGTCACTGACCATAGCTATGCACGAACCAGCACTGCTAAACTCACGGATGGGCCGTCTCGAACACGACCCATCGATGCGCAAAAGAGCCCCGTTGAAATTCGATAGCGGGTCTCCAGTCGGCGAAGCCAGATCCTGAACATGCCGGTGAGCCATCGGACCATCGTCAGCCTCCGTGCAGGGTTCGGGATGGGAGTCGGCGGGATGGGCGAACCTCCAGACGAGAAGGAAAACAGATCGCCAGCAGACGCCTCCGCCTCCAAGGCCGCTTAAATGTCTTCACCTTTAACCTTTGACTGTCTGACCTGCGCTGTATCGGGAAGAAAACGGGTCCACAGGCGCTGAAACATCGTGTTTGGCCGGCCGCTGCGAAGGCAGGCGACGACGATCTTGTGCCCCGGCTTGCGCGCTCCCCCTCGAGTGGGGAAGGCCTCGGTGGCAAATGAGTGGTGAACCCCACACCTTTTTCGAAAAGGGGGGGAACTTCTGGATCGCCAACGCATCTTTGATAATGTCATAACAGATGCGATGCCGCGATATTAGACTCTTCTCTTGGCGGCCGAATCCCTCTCCAACATTCTCACGTGCGCTTCGCGACGCAACTTATTGATGGGGGAAGGGGGAACCTGCCCATGGGGATCGACAACCCACGATCGTCACGAAGGGTCATGTCATCCGTCATCGCTCACCCGAGCCTGGAAATCGACGCGCGCATGGCCGAAACAGACCCCGATGCAGCGCGCCAAGGGTGGGCCTCTCGGCTGAAGACGGCCATCCAGGCGCGCCTGAGCTCAAGAAGCCTAGGTGACCATTTGTAGGCAGCCGTCTGGGCCAGCCATGTCTCCGTCGACCATCTAACCATGGGGGGGGGGGGGGGCGAAGCCATGCGCCAGCAAGGGTCATCGTCGAGAATGGTCGAGGTAGCGAGCGAACGAACCTTCGAAGAGGGACGCGCCGGGCTGGAAAGTTTCCTGCGATGTAAGAGGAGGTCCCGATCCGAAGTCCCCGCGATCTCGCTCCCATAACTGGCGCCTACAAGTGGCCCCGCAAGGAAAACCTTGATGGCGGTGCCTCTCTTGAGCATCCTGCCTGCCGACGGAGCCGCTGGGCCTTCTTGCTGGCAGCGGCGGTCCTAGATATGAGCTTCGGGCTCCTTGGCGCCTGAGAGCGCGACCAGCTGCGGGGTCCACTCGTGAAGTGACTGCAGGGGGCGCGAGACTCTCGCGCAGATCAGAAAGCTGGGTGACCACTTGATCACCGACGAACTTAGACGACGCAACGATGCGCGTTTTGTTTATGGCAAAGCTGCAACCCAAGACGCCCTCAACAATGATATGAGGCTCGCAGGCTCCAGCAACAATGCTGGCGACGAGTTTCTTGGGGGCTGCAGCGCGAGAGCCCTGGGTCGTCTATGTGAACGTCCAAGTCCGAGGGGGGTTGGGGGTAAGGTGGCCCTGGCCTTCCATGCCGCGCACGCGAGTGGAGGTCGCGGCCGCGGAATGGCCAGCTATGACCCCTTTCTGCACATTCAAGGGTTCGATCCATCGTCCCACGAATGGGAAGCGACCACATGAGTAGGCGAAAAGGGCGACCAGCGCGAACGCGGGCGGAACGCAGTAATGAACGCATCAGACTTCCAACTCACTCAGGTCAATGTTTAGGTAAAACTTCGTGAGATCAAAGCAAATCGAGCAACTACTTTGACCGTCGGTCACTCGCGTCTCCGAGCGGGCAGCCTGCCTCCAGACCGCGTCAACCGCTCCTCGACGCCGACGAGTAACCGAGCACCTCCCTGGGCAATCCGGTTCCCAGCTCAGGGCGAGGGGCCGCGTGGGGCGGCCCCGCAGCGATCGCCAGGAACAGAGCGCCTAAATCGGCCTGTAGCCACAATTCGGTTTCGAACGCCCAGGAGACTCCATCAGGAAGATGACGTGGCTGAAATATTCCGAGGCTGGATCCCCCAAGAGCGCAAAATGGCGACAGTGAAGCCCATCGAAGGAGACCGCCGATTTCTGGCGATATCCTAGCAACGTAACGAATGTCGCCCACCGACAACCTTGGGGGGGCCTCCAGAATCAGCCCAGGCGGGGCGGCTCCAGCCCCAGATCCCCGCAGCTTCGAGAAGCGATCGCCTTCGGCTCTGAGCAGGGGCAAGGGGTCAGACGCCGTGCAGCCCATGGCGCCGAGCGCGGCTGTGGGAGTCCGAGGGGCGGGCCCCCTGATCATCTGGCGCGCGCTCCTGGGGCCAACGTCTATGCCTGCGTGGGGCCAGGCTGACCGATCAGATCCGGGCTGCTCGGCGAGACACTTCCCGGCCCCCTCGAGTCATTCCCGCACCGCAGCTTCAACATCGCAGCATCGACTGACTGGCCCGAGGCGCGGGGGCAATCCTGGATGCGCGAGGAGGAAGAGAAGCTCGGGGGCCGACGTGCTTGGCGACGTGCGCCGGCGGCTCGACGAGCAACTTGTCCGCGGCAACCGACTGGCGAGCGTCGCCAGCCTGCCGCGCGAGCGCCAATGCACGCCACTGAGTCGCCAGCCACTTGATCGGCCTAAGCTCGGGTCAGTTGGCGTGGCCATCGTCGGAGAAGATCGAGCGCCGAGCCATCTGCGGCCCCGGCCCACAAGATGACCCCCAGGATGGTGGCCCCCAGGATGGGCATCCAGTCTTTCTCAGCTCGGCTTGCCCACGCCTGCTGAAGCGTCCGATGGAATCGGGCAAAGCGCGGGGACTGTGGGGGCCTGGGAGGGGAAGTCACCGACGACTTCCCCTCCCTAGAGCTGTCCCACAAGAGTGAGATGTTGCCTCCGCCGAGGGCCTCGAAACCAGAGATAGGATGATAGGATCGGCCGGCGGCAGCTCGAAAGAAGAAACTGAGTGCTGGCGCGCACTTCCGACATCCTCGCAAAGAGTCAAGACTGGGTGTGACCGAGCAAGCAACGGGACATCGATCGGGGCCGAATCGTATAAACGGGGCCGAAGTCTCGCAACGCGGGCGAGAGTAGTGCTGCTTCAGCTCCAGTCAGTAGCGCGGTCCAGCGCATCCTGGCCGACTTCGCTAAAACTTTGAATCCAAGGCTCTCGGCAAAACGAGGAAAAGCCCTGCGGCTCCAGAGCTGGATCCGGGCCGGCGAGGGAATGTCGCTGAAAGCCGAAGTGAGCAGAAAACCATGTTGACCCGCCACTTGAAGAGGCGCTTCAAAATAATCGCCCCCAGAAAGGCCTTGAAGGCCTCCTCAAGCGAGCCTGCCCGGGCTCCCAAGGGGGGCGGTTTGAAGCTTGGCAATGGAAGCTGCGCGATCGCGCGTGCCGCGGCTTCCCTCGACCAGCTCACTGTCGCCAGTCGCACCGCTGGGACGATCCGTGTCTGTTGGGGGCGTGTCTGCCGCAGCCGCCGCCCCGCCAGGTCCACCGCTGTCGGCGTTCGGGTCGCGCCTCCTGCGCTTGGCCGCCGGCCTCTTGAGGTGGGCCTCATGGTCAGCGCGGAGTGGGTCCACCTTGGCCTTCCAGTCCTTGAGCGAGCTGGCGACCAGCGAAGAGATGCCCTCGCGCAATTTGCGGGCTCGTGACTCCAACCCCTGGGTCGTCAGGCGTGAGCTCGTATTCCAGCTCGTCCATCTCGAAGATGCCAATCGCTGACAGGTTCAGCAGGTTGGGCAGCTTGTCGGCATCAAGGATGTCCTCGATGCAGAGCGCGGGCTTGGGCGCAACAGGCTGTTCATTCGCGGGAAAGTTGACTCTGTGGCTTGCGGGCCAGCTCGCCGTGCTCAGACTCTGTCTGCTCGAGCTCGTCACGCAAGACATCCGCGTGGGCCGCGGCGTCCAACTTCTCCTCCGCGGTCCTGGCCTTGGAGTGGGCCCTGGACAACTGCGCCAGCAGGCTCTCGCTTTTCGTCGAAGCCGCGGGCGCATTGGCGGCCGCGCGGTGCCGCTTCGCATGCGTAGCGTCGCCCATCTTGTCGCAGAGGGCCGCGCCTGGTGCTCTTCCGCCGACAGCCTCTGAGTGCCTGCGCCTGGGCCGGTGACTTGGTCTCCGCAGCAGCCTGCAATGAGGCGGGCGACGAATCCCTGGCAACGTCCCTGCCTGGGCTCGGACGCAGCGTGCTTCCACTTGTGCGGGGGCGAGACGCACCGCAGTGCTTGCGCCGCGTAAACGTAGAGGCGTTCCGACGGCATCCACGCTGCCGGCGCTCCCAGCGCCGAGCAGAATTGACGGGGAGCTTGTTGCGTGGAAGACCAGGCAGCAGAGGAGGCCACGCTTGAGAGGAACGACTGTTCGCATCCTGCGCCGAGGGCGGGCAGTCGAAGCCGTGGCTCCCAGCGCGGCCGCCTGATTTGCCCTGGCTGAAGCCCTTGCCCGCCGTGACTCCGCTCGAATCGTGGTGGCAGGCGCTCCTCCGGGAGCTCGCTGAGGAATCGAAGAGGAATGGGCCATATTGGCCCGCAACAGCACAATACCGTTCTGAAGCAGCATGGTGCTGCAAGCGCAGGCTGAGAAAGCCTGGGCCAGAACGGCTACTTGAGCCGCAGTGGCCACTGAAAAGAAGCTTCCGAGAAGCCGCCCAAGAGGCCCGAGGAGGCCCCCAATATGCCTCCAAGAGGCTCCCATGAAGCTCCCAGGAGGCTGCTAGGAGTGCCCCCCCGAGGCTCCCAAGATGCCCCCTCCTCCTCCTCCTCCTCGTCCTCGTCCTCCTCCTCCTCCTCTGCCTCCTCCTCCTCCTCCTCCTCCTCCTCCTCCTCCTCCTCCTCCTCCTCCTCCTCCTCATTCTCCCCGCCATGCTCCCAAGTGTTCCCCGAACAGTTTCCGCGCTGGCTGGGGGAACAGAGGGTCCGATAGCTTGGCAGAGCTCTTGCCACGCCGCTCGTCCACATGGGCGATTTCAACAAGCGAGGGGCGGCGGTGATTCGCCGTAGGCGCCTTCGATATGTGTGCAGGTCTAATCGGGAAGGGCCAGAAGGAGCCCCGGGACGACGCACCCCCAGTGAGGTGTCGCAGCGGCCGCGGTTCCAGCCAAGGTGGGCGCCAAAACGCCGCCGTTGGGCACCCCGGGGTGTGCCCTGAGACCCACTCTCCAGTCTCCAGGGTGCGTCTGTTCTTGGGTGCGCTTTGGGGGGGAAGGCTGTCCATATGTGCATGATACCGGAGAAAAGCCCCAATCTTATTTTTTGGGGCTATAGGGCTATGGGGCTATAGGACCATAGAACTATAGGTCTATAGGGCTACAGGCGAACAGAGCTTTAGGGCTATAAGGGCTACAGGGCTATACAGTTATAGGGCGATAGGGCGATTGGGCTATAGAGCTACAGAGCTATAGGGCTATAGGGCTATGGGGCTATAGGGCTATAGTGCTATAGGGCTATAAAGCTATAGGGCTACAAGGCTGCTATGAGGCTATAGGGCGAGTAGGGCATTAGGGCTATAGGGCTAAAAGGCTATAGGGTTATAGGGCGATAAAAAAAGGGCTATAGGGCTAGTAGGGCTATAAGGCTATTAGGGCTATTAGGGTCATAGAGCTATAAGGCCACAGGGCTATAAAACTATAAAGCTATAGGGCACCCGGGATCCAGGCATCCGGGCACCCAAACACCCGGGCGTGCCGCCGAAATCGGCGCCACAGGTAACCTAACCACATGAATCCGCTAGGACCTCTACAGAAGCAAGGTCTGATTGGGGAATATACGCATTTCTGGGGTGCGCTTTGGGGGTGGGGTTGTTCATATGTAGATCTACACATACATAACTATCAATGTGCATAGATACATGTTTCGATATACACATATATGTATATGTATATGTATGTATGTATATATATAAAAATATGTATGTATGTATATATATATATATATATATATGCACATTTTCTATATCTATTCATCTGTATATCAGAATGCGGGGGCCGAGCGGTCATTCACTGTCCCGGGGTGCGTGGCTGAAATGGGGATCCACGGCGAAAATTCTGCTTGTTTTGTTGCGTCGTTCCCCGCGCGACCCGCCCGCGAACCACCCACGACCCACCCCGCGACCCGCCCGCGACCTACCCGCGACCCTCCCTTGACCCACCCCGCGATCCACCCGCGACTCGCCCGCGACCCACCCCGCGACCCGCCCGCGATCCACCCGCGACCCGTCCTCAACCCGTCCGCAACCCTCCCGCGACCCACCCGTGACCCACCCCGCGACCCACCCCGCGACCCACCCGCGACCTACCTGCGACCCACCCGCGACCTACCCGCGACCCACCCGCGAATCACCCGCGATTCACATTGCTTTAGTGAAAACCGTCGCCTGCGGCGGGCTCGTTGTATACTTGTAATACTTAAGCGCCAGCGGCGGGCTTCTTCAGAGCCTCGCAGACAGCAGACGCACTCTTATCCGCGTCTGCGGGGGGTGCTACTTGTATATGTGTATATATATATATATATATATATATATATAGGTATAGCTAAATATATCCATATCCATATTTATACACAGATACCTCATGATGTATGCATGTATATCTGGATGCATGCATGTATGTATGTATGCATGTATGTTTGTGTATGTATATGAATGTATAGCCACACTCTGTCTAGAACTCAATCGATCGATGCATTTATCTACATACTTACCTACCTACACTATCGATCTATACATATACACATATGTATGTCTATGTATGTATATATATATATATATATATGCATGTACATATGCGTCTATATCCATCCATCTGTTTACCAATTTAACAATCAATCGATCCATCTATTGATGTTGATTCTCTGACCGTCGCCGTACTAATCCAGGGAGCCCAAGAGGCTTGCTGGGTGCTTTTCGGAAGCAGTTTTGACACTTCTTGGAGGCTGCTTTGGCGTTCCTTGGGGCCTTTTTTTGGCCTCTTGGGGAGCTGAGGCCTGTCGGGGGCCTCTGTGGGAGTCCTTGGTGTCTTTCGGGGGCCGTTCTGGGGCCCCCTTGGGCGCCGCTTGGGCCGGCTTGGGGCCCTCTTGGGCCGTCGTGGGGGCCACTTGAGTGCCTCTTGGGCCGTCTTGGGGTGATCTGGGGTGCGTCTTGGGCCGTCTTGGAGCGTCGGGAAGGGGAGAAGCTGATCATGCTGAAAAGGTACGTTTTACGACGGGAATTTGGCGATTTTGGCCCCTGGGGCTCCCTTGGGAAGCCTCTTTGGGTGTCATGGGGCGAAGAGAGGGCCTCTGGGACTGTCTTGGGGCCAGCGTGGGCGTCTTGTAGCCCTCTTGGCCCATCGTGGAGCCCTTTGGAATCCATCAGGAGCCGTCGTAGGACCTTCAGGCGCGCTCGGGACCCAGCGGTCCCCAGCGGGACGAAGGTCAAGCCAGGTCAGTTTTCTGGGTATATGGGTACTCATTGTATTAACACAATTTTATCAATCTATCAAACTGTATATATATTCTCTATATATGTATATCGAACTATCTACCTGTTCATCCACCTATCCATCTATACACACATATATATACATATGAGTGAGAGAGAGAGAGAGAGAGAGAGAGAGAGAGAGAAAAAAACAAACAACGAGAGCGTGCCCGTGGCGCACCCACAAAGGGGGGGATGGGTACCCTCTTATCTACCCCCCGGGACCTGCGCTGCCGGCACCCCTCCGCTTTTTTTCTCGCCCCTCGGGAGCTACCTCCCCCCTCTTCCCTTTCGCGCTCCGGAAACTCCCCCCCCGGTCCTTTCCAACGGTGGAGGGGGGTGCTTAGCTACCCCCTCCCCCCCGAACCTGCCCTGCCAAAGCCCCCCACCGCCCCCTTCTCCTTCTTGTCTGCCCTTCAGAAGCTACCCCCCCTCCTTTGGCGCTCCGGAAGCTACCCCACCCCCTTCTTTTTTTTGAAAAGCAAGGGGGCTTAGCCCTCCCCTTGGACCTCCGTTGCCAGAAGCCTCCCCCTCCTTTTTTGCTGCCTCTCGGAAACTTCCCCCGCCTCATTTGGCGCTCCGGAAACTACCCTGCCTCCCCTCCGTTTCCCAACGGAGGGGGGCTTAGCCCCCCCCTGCCGGAAGCCACCTCCCACTCTTTTTTGCTGCCCCCTGGAAGCGATGCTACCCGTGCGAACGTCGCCACTGGGGACTTCGGTGGAGCTCCTTATGGGGCCACGAACCGCTGTGCTGAGTGGGGGAGATGCGTGCGAACACCGCCGCTGAGGCCTTCGGCGGAGCTCCTCATTGGGCCCACGAAGCGTTGTACTGGGGAGAAGGGGCATGCGAACGCCGCCACTCGAGTCTTCGGTGGAGGTCCCTATGAGGACACGAAGCGCTGTGCTGGGTGGAGGAGATGCATGCGAACAGCGCCGCTAGGGCCTTCGGTGGAGCCCCCGATGGGGACACGCAGCGCTGTGCTGGGGGGGGCAAGGCATGCAGACACCGCCACTGGGGCGGGCCTTCAGTGGAGCCCCCTATGGGGCCACACAACGTTGCACTGGGTGTGGAAAAGCATGCGGACACCGCCACAGGGGCCTTCGGTGGAGCTCCCTATGGGGCCGCGAAGCGTTGTGCTGGGTGGGGGAAAGCATGCGGACGCAGCCGCTGGGGCCTTCGGTGGAGCTCGTTGTGGGGCCACGAAACGCTGTAATGGGTGGGGGAAAGCATGCGGAATCGCCACCAGGGCCCTCGGTGGAGCTCATTGTGGGGCCAGGCAGCGTTGTACTGGGTGGGGGAAACGCATTCGGACACCGCCACTAGGGCCTTCGGTGGAGCCGCCTATGGGGCCACGAAGCGCTGTACTGGGTCAGGGAAACACATGCGAACGCAGCCACTGGGGCCTTCGATGGAGTTCCCTATGGTGCCACGAAGCGTGTGGGGGGTGTGCCAAAGCGGAGAGGGGGGCATGCGAACGCAGCCACTGGGGCCTTCGGTGGAGCTCCCTATGGGCCACGAAGCGTGTGAGGGGTATGCCAAAGTGGACAGGGGGCGGCATGCGAACGCAGCCACTGGGGCCTTCGGTGGAGATCCCTATGGGGCCGCGGGTTGTCTGAGGGGTGGGTCAAAGTAGACAGGAGGCGGCATGTGAACGCAGCCACTGCGGACGTGGGTGGAGCTCCCTACTGGGCCACGAAACGTATGAGGGGTGTGCCAAAGTGGACAAGAGGCGGCATGTGAACGTAGCCGCTGGGGCCTTGGGTGGAGATCCCTATGGGGCAACGAAGCGTGTGCGAGGTAGGCCAAAGTGAACAGGAGACAGCATGCGAATGCAACCACTGGGGCCTTGGGTGGAGCTCCCTATGGGGCCACGAAGCGTGTGAGCGGTGTGCCAAAGTGGACAGGAGGCGGCATGTGGACGCAGCCGCTGGGGCCTTGGGTGGATCTCCATATGGGGCACGAAACGTGTGAGGTGTGAGGGGTGTGCCAAAGTGAGGGGGTGATGGGTGACGGGAGGAGGGAGGAGGGGGAGGAGGGGAGGACGAGGACGCAGAGCACCCTCTCTTCACAACAAAAAACGAATAGCTTTGAAGCCCCCCCTCGGCAAACCAATATCAGGTGCGAAAAAGAGGGGAGGGGGTTAGCTTCCGAAACCTTCCCCCCTTTGAAAGGGAAGCCCGGGCTAGCCTTGGGCTCCGGAAAAGGAGGGAGGGGAGGGTAGCACTGAAGCCCCCCCCCTTGGCACGGCAATCTCAGCTGCGAAAAGGAAGGCGGGGGGTAGCTTCCGACCCCCCCTCTTTGAAAAAATGAAAGCCCAGGCTGGCCTTGGGCTAAAGAAAAGGAAGCGTTGGGGTTAGCGGTTAGCTTTGAAGCCCCCTCCCTTTGCACGGCAGTCTCAGCTGCGAAAAGGAGGGAGGGGGGGTAGCTTCCGAAGCTCCCCCCACCTTTGAAAGGGAAGCCTGGGCTGACCTTTGGCTCCGAAAAGGAAGGGGGGAGGTAGCTTCTAATCCCTCCCCCAGCTAGCTAGGGTCCCTCTGGCTTCGAAATGTCAACGAAAGGGGGGGAAGGGGGGGGGTAGCTTTGGAAGTCCCTCCCCCTTTCCCAAGGAGGGGGGTAGCTTGAAGCTGGGCCCCCCCCCCTTAGTGAGAAATGCGCCCAAAGCGCGCTCTTTCCTGTCTACAGATAGATCTATTTGTCTATCTATCTGTCTATCTATCTATCTATCTATTCATCTATCTATCTATCTATCTATCTATCTATCTATCTATCTATCTATCTATCTATCTATATATCTGTCTATCTATCTGTCTATCTATCTATCTATCTATCTATCTATCTATCTATCTATCTATCTATCTATCTATCTATCTATCTATCTATAGCTAGCTGTCTATACACATCGGGGCGCGGCCGGGCACAGCCCGCCGGGGCGCGACCGCGGGCGCGGGCGCCTCCTCGCTCGGACCGCGTCAGGGCCGGGGTGAAATAGACTGCGGCCTCCGCCGAGCGCGGCGGCCGCTGGCAGGGGGGGGGAGGGGCCAACGGGAAGGAGGGAGGAGGCGGAGGCGGAGGAGGAGGCGGAGGCGGAGGAGGAGGAGGGAGAAAAGAATACCAGGATGAGGACGAGGAAGAGGACGAGGACGAGGACGATGATGATGATGATGATGATGATGATGATGATGTTGATGATGCTGATGATGATGATGATGATGATGATGATGATGATGATGCTCATGCTGCTGCTGATGGTGATGATGCTCATGCTGCTGCAGATGATGATTATGATGCAGATGAGTATGATGAGTATGGCAATGGGAATGAACATTAATATAATGATGCTCCTGATGATGATGCTGCTGATTATGATAATGATGTGACTGATGATGATGCTGATGATGATGATGATGAGGAGGAGGAGGAGAATGAGGAGGAGGAGGAAGGAGGAGGGGAGGAGGAGATGAGGAGGAGGAGGAGGAGGAGGAGGAGTGGGAGGAGGAGGATGGGGAGGAGGATGAGGAGGAGGACGAGGAGGGCGAGGAGGAAGAGGAAGAGGAGGTGGAGGAGGAGGAGGAGGAGGAGCAGGAGTGGGAGGAGGAGGAGAAGAAGGAGGAGGATGAGGAGGAGGGAAGAGAGAGGGGGGAGGAAGGAGAGAGGAGGAAGAGGAGGAGGGAGGAAGGAGGAGGAAGGAGGGAGGAGGGAGGGCGGAGGGCGAGGGGATGAGGGCGGAGGGGGAGAAGGAGAAGGGTGAGGATGAGGATGATGATTCTGATGAGGAGGATGATGCTGATGATGATGATGATGAGGAGGAGCAGTAGGAGGAGGAAGAAGCGAAGAAGAGAATGGAGAGGAAGAGGAAGAGGAACACGATGATGATGCTGCTGCTGATGATGACGATGATGACAGTGATGATTGTGCGGATGATGCTGACAATGATGGTGATGATTCTGACGATGATGATGCAGATGAATCCGATGCTGCTGATGATGATACTGATGCTGATGCTGATCATGACTACGATTATAATGTTAATGTTGATGCTGATGATGAGGATTTTGCTGATTCTGATGTTATGGGGCTGCTACTGCTGCTGCTGCTGATGTTGATGATGCTGATGCTGCAGATGATGATGCTGATGAGGATGCTGATGATGATGATGCTACCGATGATGCTGATGATGAGGATGCTGATGACGACGATGATGATGCTGATGATGATGATAATGCTACTGCTGCTGCTGCTGCTACTGCTGCTCAGGCTCAGGATGAGGATGATGATGAGGATGATGGTGATGCTGCTGCTGATGATGATGACGAGGATGCTGGTGGTGATGATGATGCTGCTGATGATGCTGATGATGAGTATGACGATGATGCTGATGCTGATGCTGATGACGACGATGATGATGCTGCTGATGATGCTGATGATGCTGCTGCTGCTGCTGCTGATGATGATGATGATGATGATGATGATGATGATGATGATGATAATGATGATGAAGGGGGAGGATTAGAAGGCGGAGGATGAGGATGAGGATGAGGATGATGAGGAGGAGGAGGAGGAGGAGGAGGAGGAGGAGGAGGAGAGGAATGATAGGAATGAGGAGGAGGGAGGAGGAGAGGATATGAGGAGGAGGAGAGGAGGATGAGGAGGAGGAGGAGAGTGGAGAAGGAAGGAGCAGTAGGAAGAGGAGAGGAAATGAGGAAGGAGGAACGAGGCAGGAGGAAGGAGGAGGAGGAGGGGAGGAGGAGGAGGAGGAGGAGGAGGAGGAGGGGAGAGGAAGGAGGAGGAAGGAGGAGGAGGAGGCGAGGAGGAGGATAAGGAGTAGGAGGAAGGAGGAGAAGGAGTAGGAGGAGGAGGCGTGGAGGCGACGAGGGGGAGGAGGGAGTGGAGGGAGGAGGAGGGGTAGGGGGAGGACTACGGAGGGGGGAGGAAGAGAAGGAGGAAGAGAGGACGGGTACTACGGGACGGTGATCCCCGCGCGGTTGGAGCGTCAAGCCCAGAAAACGCATTGGGATGGCATGCGCCGGGCTCAACTGAACTGTGACCGTTGGCTGCAGGTGAGGCCCCAGGAGGAGGAGGAGGAGGAGGAGGAGAAGGAGGAGGAGGACGAGGAGGAGGAGCAGGAGGAGCAGGAGGAGGAGGATGAGGATGAGGATGAGGAGGGAGGAGGGAGGGAGGAGGGAGGAGGGGGGAGGAGGAGGAGGAGGAAGAGGGGGAGGAGGAGAAGGGGGAGGCGGCGTTGGAGGTGGCGGACGAGGCACAGGGCACAAGGCCTGGCAACCAAGGAGCGCGGGTGGCAGGAGGACCCGGGCAAGGGAGAGTACGGGAGGAGGAGGTGCCGCAGGTGGAGGAGGTACGAGAGTGTTGCTGCCCCAGGGAGTACTGAAGGTCCTGGACCAGGAGGAAGTGGCGCTTTCCATCGAACATAATCCACGAGATTCGAAGGGGAAGCCTAAGTGCTGGGACCCCTTGTGTCACGCGACGGCTGCCCCCGACCAGCCACAACCTGCGCGCGGTCGCATGCCGAGAGCATCAAGCAAGCCGACAAACTCCACTGGACGATGAAAGCTCAACTCATCAAACACGGCGGGCTCAAGACCGGGCCGAGGATCCCACCCGAAACCAGAGTCGAGAAGGTCCAGAAGCTGAGGGAGGATGCGAAGAAGGAGCAGCAATGGAAGATCCAGGAAGGAGTAGATCAGGCGCGTTCCCGCCTAGGCGCAGGAGTTGAGCTGAGCGCTCCAGAGGAGTACCTCAACGTGAACTTCACCGCCCAGGAGGCCGAGCTGCAGCAACACACGTTGGGCCCAGATCTGGAGTGGCGCACGGACCACGGCAAGAAGGAAGCGGTGGTCTACCCTGAGGAGCTGCCATCCGACATGCCAAAAGCGGCGACTGCAACCGAATGCGACGCAACCGAACCGACCGAACCGCGAACACCCTTGGTCCCCGACCCCGAGAAACCACGGGGGTGCCAACAGCTCTCCCCTGTGTGGGACTCCCGCTCTCATCATGAACTGAGTCTCCTCTGGCCTCGAGCCTACCTGGCTTTCCCTGGGCCACCCGCCTTCGGCATCCTTGGGCCTCTCTGGGCCTCCCTGGACGACATATTTCTACCTGCTCCATCCTTGCGCGTCCTTGCGCTGCGCCCTTTCCTCTTCCCTACTCCTTCCTGCCCCTACTTACACTACAATAACAAAACGCCTACCCAAGAAATCCGCGCGGACCTCCGAACGTTTGCGCTTATGCCGCTTGTTATTCCTCCATGCCCCTGCCCCTCGTTACCTAGGACGATCATGATATCATGATGCGATTGGCTCAGGATGCATTCCACCAGTCCAGAATATCTAGCGGCCCTGGTTTCTGCAGCCCGTCTGGAAAATTAGGAGATCTGGGGAATCCTGGAAAAGTCTTGGAACGTCATCATTACCATGGCATCTCGCTCCTCTGAGTAACAACTTCCACATCTCCCCTCGAGCGGCCGCCGATGACTAGGGACAGTGCATACCCCTCGCTGGTCCCTGCAGAAAATCAGTACCAGGCGGAGCCAGGCGCACGCGGCCGCGCGCGCCCCACGAGGTGTGGGCGCTCCGCTCCTCCTGCTCCCCGCGCTGCTGTTGCGATGGCTGATCCCTCCCCCGCCGGGAGGGGGGGGGGGTAGCGACCCCCCCCCGGGTCAGATACGACGCCCCCCCCTGGGACTCCTCTTCCCCTGGGCTCCAGCCAAGCCGACCTTGAGCAACCTCGTAATTGAGTCGAAGGGAAGCCCCTGTCGGCGTGTGTGAGGGGCTTTTTGCGTTCGAGCCGTCATCTCCGTCATTCTTTGTACTCGTCGTCTCTGTCCTTCCCTTTCCCTGGGAGACCTCTTCCCCTGGGCTCCAGCCAAGCCGACCTTGAGCAACCTCGTAATTGAGTCGAAGGGAAGCCCCTTCCCTTTGATCCCTCCCCCGCCGGGGGGGGGGGGGGGTGCGACCCCCCCCCCGGGTCAGATACGACGCCCCCCCCTGGGTCAGCCAAGCCGACCTTGAGCAACCTCGTAATTGAGTCGAAGGGAAGCCCCTTCCCTTTGATCCCTCCCCCGCCGGGAGGGGGGGGGGTAGCGACCCCCCCCCCGGGTCAGATACGACGCCCCCCCCTGGGACTCCTCTTCCCCTGGGCTCCAGCCAAGCCGACCTTGAGCAACCTCGTAATTGAGTCGAAGGGAAGCCCCTTCCCTTTCATTCCTCCCCCGCCGGGAGGGGGGGGGGGTAGCGGGGGGGGGTAGCGACCCCCCCCCCGAGTCAGATACGACGCCCCCCCCCCGTACCGACCTTGAGCAACGTCGTCATTGAGTCGAAGGGAAGCCCCTTCCCTTTCCCTTCCCCGACGGGGGGGGGAGACGAGGTCCTGGGGGGGGTCCCGGGGGAGTCCCGGGGAAGTCCCGGGTCAGATACGACACCTCCCTCCCCCACCTTCTCGTCCTTCTCCCCGTTCCCCCAAACCATCCCACAGCCCGTGCCTCTTGCTGCGCATTGCGAACAGGGTCGGCGGCACCGGCCGTCAGGCCTTCGCAATCAGTACCAGGCGGAGCCAGGCGCACGCGGCCGCGCGCGCCCCACGAGGTGTGGGCGCTCCGCTCCTCCTGCTCCCCGCGCTGCTGTTGCGATGGCTGATCTTACGCGCGCACACGCGCACACGCGCGCACACGCGCGCACACGCGCGCACACGCACGCACACGCACGCACACGCACGCACACGCACGCACACGCACGCACACATGCACACACGCACACACGCACACACGCACACACGCACACACGCACACACGCACACACGCACACACGCACACACGCACACGCGCACACGCGCACACACGCACAACACGCACACACGCACAC